TTGAGCAATATGCCAACCCGTGGCACCTCTTTGAGCCTGGAGGGGGCGGTGCTATTTCCCTAGGTTTGGGTCAAGGCTGAGCTCAGGCTGGCACCTGGTGTTGCTGCAGTCTGACCATGGACTCGTTAGCTTTAGGCCAAGGAGTCAGTCCACGTATTGCTGAGGTTCTCTCCTTGGCTGAAATTCACCCCTTTCCTGTGGGCAAGTGTCTAGAAGGGTGGCCTCCTGAGGTGGAAGGCCTGCTCTCAAGGGTCTTGTCCCTGAAATATGCCGCCCATGCTGCTTCTGACCCATGGGGTCACCTCCAGGATGGTGAGTCTTGTGCCCAAGGAAAGGAGAAGTCACCATGTGTCCCCCGAATAGCCAAGTGTGGCCCTGCTCTGTGTTAGGAGGTGTGTGGGGCATGAATGGGGACCCACCAGAGAAAGCATGTGGCCCTGGGACCCCAGGCATGTAAGGACTCTAGTACGTGCTGTGATAGGGCACGTGGGTGGGTTCCCACAGTGCACAGGGGCAGGATATGTGACTGCCAGCTTTGCAGTGGCATCTGGCATCTGGGCTAGCCTCCTTGGTTGGTGATGAGCTGTTTTGTGGCCCTGGTCTGTGCCCAGTAGACCTGGCATGATGCTGGGGTCATGCAGTGGAGCCGGCATGGGCAGTGGAGGTGCTCATAGGGTCTGCAGTAGGGCACAGCTGGGGCTTCTTGCCCGACCCCAGTGACCCGCCTGCCCTGTCCTTTCAAGGATTGGTGGCTGAGAGAGCACAGGGTGCCCTGTGTCTGCAATGGGCCAGTGTTCCTCATGGAACCCATCACGTAGGTCCATGTAGGGCAAGCATCCCTGAGCCACCACACGCCACCTTCTGCCTCCATGGAGGGATGAGGTTGTGTTTGGACACCTGTCCTACTCCTGTTTCCCCAGATGTTGAACCTTGAGGAAGACTTGTATTGAACCCAATGGCCCTGGGCCAGCGTCTGTCAGTCAAGTGCCCAGCCCCAGTGCACTGAAGATGGGGCCCTTCCTGATGCCCTCGTCTCCTGCATTGAGCTATGGTGAGCACATCCGGGTCCCACTGGATGCATTGATGGGGAGGGGGTGCCCTGGGTTGGGTCAATGATGAGAACCTTATATTGTCTGAAGAGAGGTGATGACATAAAAATCATGCTCAATAGGATTACGCTGAGGCCCAGCCTGGGTGAGAATGTTGGAAGAGGATGCTGGGAATTATGAGTTCCCTGTGAGATCCACTGTAATTTGGGCTGGAGACCTGGAGGCTCTGAGGACATCTAGAGGGTGCCCAACCCTGTCTCTGCACTCCTCCATGAGGCAGCCCAGGGTCACTACGTGGACTTGGTGTCAGTGCTGCTGTTACCCAGGGGTGGGGCACTTTGGTGGCTCCTTCCTGAGCCCCCATTTTCCCCTGTATCTTTCAGTGAGCTCTTGTGCCAAGCAGACCCCCTGACTTTGACCGGCATAGGTGAGTGGATCCTGCTGCGGTCATGGTCCATGTGCCAGGCTGTGTGGGGTTTCCGAGCATCAGTCTTCAGCTGCAAGGGTTTCCTTAGGAGCCTTCCTGAATGCCCACCTGGGATTGGTTCTCTAGGAGGGCAGCTTCCTTAGGAATCAGACCCAAGGAAGATACATTCCCTGAAGCCCTGCAGGGGTTGTGATGGTCCAGGCATTAAAGGGTTTCCTCCACCTCATGCAGGGCAGTGTCCCGCTGAGACTCGGTCCTCAGGTGTGGCCTCTAGGATGGCCAGGCCACATGAAGAGGGACACAAGGGCTCTGGGGCACCAAGAGGTTCATGTAGAGGCTCTCTGACCTTGGAGAGGTGTGTGTGATTCGGCCCAGGGGGTGGACTGTGGATTTTCAAGGATCACACCAAACCCATGGCCCTGAATGGGACTGACCCTATTAAGCAATCGGCCATCCCAGTGGTGCCTCTGTGAGCCACGTGTGGATCAGCACTGTTTCCTCAGGGTGAGTCGAGACTAGCTCTGGCCAGCATCTGATGGCGGTGCAATCCTATCCTGGGATTGGTGGGATTAGGGACAAGGAGATGACCCCTGTCCCATCGGGGTCACCCCTTCCTTGTGGGCGAGTGGCAGGAAGAGTGTCCTCCTGAGGTGGGAAGGCCTACTGTGGAAGATTCTGTCTCAGAATTTTGCTGTCCAGGCTGCTTCTGAGCTATGACGTCACCTCCATGCTGGCGGGGCCTCAGGTGAATGGATCCTACTGGGGTCATGGGCCATGAGCCAGGCCAAGGTGGGGTCCCTGAGTGTCACGCTTCAGGTCATGAGGGTTTCCTCAAGGAGCTGACCTGAATCCCCACCAGGGATGGATGGTTTCTCCAGTTGGGAGATTTCCTTGGAAATCGGTCCCAAGAAGGACGCCTTCCGTGAAACCCTGCAGAAGTAACAGAGGTTCAGGCAGGAGAGGGTTCCTTCAACCCAATGCAGTGCACATCCTAGCTGAGACTTGGTGCACAGGTCAGTCCTGGAGAACTGCCCAGGCCACATGAAGGCATTCCCAGGGTCTCCAGGGCCAGGAGTCTTATATGGGAGCTCTTTGTCCCTGAGGCTTGCAGGGGGACAGTGTGTGGCTGATCCGGCTTACGGAGTCAGACCCTGAACATTCAAGGGTCAGGAATGACCTATGGCCCTGAATGGGACCGACCCTGTTGAGCAGTGGAGCAATGGGCCATTCAGTGGTGGCACCTTGAGCCTGGTGGGGGTGGCGCAGCCTCGGTGGGGTTGGGTCAAGGCTGAGCTCTGGCTGTCACCTCATGGTTGGCCCTGGGAATCGTGGGCTTTGGGCCAAGGGTGCAGCCCGGGTCCCATTGGAGTTCACCCCTCCCCATTGTGGAGTGGTCAGAAGGGTGGCATCCTGTGGTGGAAGGGCCACTGTGAAGGGTCCTGTCCCAGCAATTTGCTGCCAAGGCTGCTTCTGAGTCATGGGGTCACCTCCAGGGTAATGGGGTCTTGAGCCAAAGGAAAGGAGAGGACATTAAGTGGCACCTGATTGGCAAAGCGTGGCCCAGCTCTGTGTTTGGGAGGTGTGAGGTGCATGAATGGGGACCCACCAGAGAAGGCACGTGGCCCTGGGGCCCCAGGATGGTATTTCTGGTGTGAGCTTATGGAGGGTGTGTGAATGTGTGCATTCTATGCCCAGGGGCAGGCTATGTGACCGCCAGGTCTGCAGTGGCGCATGGCGTCCAGGCCAGCCTTCTTGGTTTGCCGTGAGCTGGTTGGTGGCCCTGGCCCTCCCCAGTGGTCCCATTGAAGCCCAGAGTTGTGTGGGGGAGCTGGTGTGGGCAGTGGAGGTGCTCCAGGGTCCTACAATAGGGTGCAGCCTAGGCGTCTTGCTGGAATCCCATGATCCATCTGCCCTGTTCTTTCAGAGTTCTGTGGCAGAGAGGGCCAAGGGTTCCTCACATGCATGACTGTCACTGTTTTACATGGGTCTCATCTCATGAGTCCATGGAGGGAGAGCATGTGTGAGCTAGCACCC